TCGACCGCGGGAACCAGGGGGAGAGGGGCGGCGTCCTCGCCGACCCCCTCGAACGCGAGAACCAGGGGGAGAGGGGCGGCGTCCTCGCCGACCCCCTCGAACACTGGAACCAGGGGGAGAGGGGCGGCGTTCTTGCCGACCCCCTCGAAGGTTGGGAGCGGGGGCATGGCGTCTTCGCCGACCTACTCAAATGAGGAAGCAGGGGCAAGGCGTCCTCGCCGAGCCCCTTTAAAGGCAGGAAGCAGGGGCAAGGTGTCCTCGCTGAGCCCCTCAAGGACCAGACGGGAAGCAGCGGAACCGAATCATGACACAGTACACAGGTATTGCCCACAGGAAAATCAACAACTCTTGAGCGTGGGTCTTCTGAGATCTCTTTTCATGGTTCACATCAGTTGATGCTGCTTGTGATCAGCACACTGACACTATTTAAGTGTCAAGGCAGTTCTAAACCACACCACGATTCTCGTTTCATTGACTGGACTCAAGGTTTGCTAACACCTGACTCCAGCTGATGTTTAGCGACATCAGAAGCTTTTTCCACCTTCACTTTGTAGGTTTAATGAGTGTGTTCAGTAAAGACATGAAAGATCAGGACTGTTTATCAGCTTAGAAATATTGTGTTTGTTGATATTTGTGACTTTGGTGAAGCTCAGATCACATTTTATGACCAATTTATGCAGAAAACCAGGTGACTGCAAACAATGCCATTATTTTTTCTTGAGACTGTACATTATACAGCAGCCTCCCCACATCACTCACATCAATGAGTTGCTGCTGCTCCTTTTCTGTCATCTGGGTGAGACTGTAGTACCTCCCAGTCAGGTCACCCTTCAGGCCGGCGAGGGCATCCACCACAACCCTCTCCACCTCCCTGCGCTCTGCCCGGCTGCAGGCAGGGGGCAGGCTCAGCCCCCGGATACTGCGGCCTGTCCTCACTCTGGACGACAGCACATAACGTTCGTCAAACAGGCCTGAATGGATCTGAAACAAACACAGTGGGGAATGTTTCTACATGTATCTACATGACATTTCTACATTCAGTGTAAAATAATATCAATGATTTGAGACATAGTTATGAAAACATAAGCAACAGGTCTCTGGAGGTAGAGTTGATCCCACTGGTTGAGTTCAATAGCGTAACTTAAAGCAACAACATACACTCACCAGCCAGTTTGTTGGGTACACCTGTACTACGTTATATTTAGAAGTGTCTCTATATTTTTGTCCTCCCCAGCTACATACATGAGAAGGTCAGAATATTAGGAACACCTCTATGTATAATGTAGTCCAGTACAACAGCACCTTTAACTATGACCTCAATAATAAACATATAATTGAATTTGTACATTTATGACAATTTTACCAAAAACTGAAACAATGTGGGATTCATAAACACAGACGTTAAGGTGGAAGTGTTGCATGGAAGTGCATACAATTGTACAGGCATACCTAATAAAGTGGCTGATGAGTGTATATTCCTGGAGTAAAATGAGTGGTGCTTTTTTACCGGACATATGTTATGTTCATATCACTGTAGCAGAACAGCCCACTGAGTAAAACTATCTCTCTGCGTTGTCAGTGTGAGTGGTACCTTGCTGGAGTCCAGGTCAGTAGGGTGCTTCATGTTGAGGGGGTCATAGCCGTTGTGCCTCTCTTTGATGACAGGGTTTATCAGATCACCAAATACCTGAAACAGACCCAGAGTTTAATAATATAAAAATATCTAATATGCATTTATTTGTGTGTTATAATATGGATAATCTAAATGATGCCTGAAATTAACCACAGTGCATTTCTGGGCCATGAGACTGTTCCAACACAAAACTATGGTGAAAGCTCAGTTCAGAAAAGATGCTTTCCAGAGGTTGCAGGTTGTCTTGGTGGACTGCTATGGATCAGACAGAGGAATTCTACTTTTGCTTGGTTCAGTGTTTTCCTGAAGGACATTTCAGCAGGGTGTTTACTCCTAAGAAATTACTGTGACTTGTGTGTTTAAAATAAAGTCTGAAGCATAACACTGAGGCTGGCTGTGGCGTTTGTTACTCTGCAGTCCTGCTCATAAATCTATACATTTCTTAGCCAAACAGGACTCATTTTACACAGTGTGGGTAAGCTCGCCTTGCAGTAATACCACACCCATATGACCTCAATCACAAGAAACAGCCACACATGTAAAAAGAAGGAAGCAACGATGAATCATACAGTATCACATTTTAGAGACACCGTATGAATAATGTTAACTCAAATTCTACATACAAAAATAATATATTAGCCAAATTACTACCATCAAACAAGGAAACTTCAGATATTTCTGAGGTCTCTAAAAATAGTACGCAATTAAAATGGAAATGTACTTTGATTCTCACTACGAATAGATAATGAAACCTTGAAAAAGTGGCGTCTTGGCCTAAAACACTCCCTTTCCTCTGTTGTAATACTCCTTCCTTTGAAACAGGGCAGGGAGAAAGGGTGGCTAAATTCCCTGAAGTTGGAATAAGAGCTAAAAGAAAACTGTATTTTTCCAGTCAGTTCTAAATGATTAAAAGGGTTTTTATCTTTGTGTAAACTGTCATGGCAGTGAGGTTGGCCTGGGACTGGAATGCAACTGTCAGTACCATCCATCCATTTATTTATTATGTCATTTTCTGTGATTTCCCCCCTTTTCTCTGAGTTTAGACTTTTGTTAGTGCTGTCTTTGTCACTGCAAACTTCTACTGGTGTCCTGAGGAGGTTGTGGACAACCAGGATTCTTGTACAAAACACATTCCATTCTTGTGTGTGTTTGAAAAGGTACATTGGAATCTGACCTCGTAGGACTCTTCGTCTCCTGCCACCATGCCAACAGTCTTGATGAAGGGGTGCCCAGGGTTGTCCACACCTGTCTGGATGGCCTGGTCCAGTGTGTAACCATTGGGAGTGGCTTTATCACACAGCTTGGCATAAATGGCAGGTGTCAGGTTACTGGCCATGCAGTTGTTGTGTTTGCGCAAGTCTGGGTACTCCGCACTACACAAACACAAAATAACACATTGCTGCATTGATTTCTTAGGAATGGGCACAAATTAACCATGAAGCTATGCCTTTGGAGCAGGTGCAGAGTGGGCGATCCACTCAGGAACACACCCATGTGACATGTTTGCAGGTAACTTATGGCAATGGGACGCCCTGCTGCAAACGATGCCCACTAAATTATACATACAGTACAGACAGGTGACAACTCAAAGGAAAACCAACATACAAAGTCTCAGTGAGGTGCTGGGCCACCACATGCCACCTTAACAACTTCAGTGCACCTTGGAATTGACTCTTGAAGTCTCTGGAGGGATGATGAACACCATTCCTCCAAAGGATATTCCCTCATGTGGTGTTTTGATGATGGTGGTGGAGACATTAACAAGTCTCCCATAGGTGTTCAAATGGGCTGAGCTCTGGTGAGTGTGAAGGCCATAGCACATGAGTCACTTTCATCCTCATCAAACCATTCAGTGACTGTCCTGTGGATGGGGGCGCCGCCATCCTGGAGGAGACCGTTCCTTTATTCCAGGTTTTCCTTTAATTTGTCACCAGACTGTAGATTATATAGGAGCACAGGAACACGAGGCTGGTACCATCGGTCATATTGGCATTGTAAAAAAAATAATAAGATATACTTAGATATACTCCTATACATTGAATGCAATTCGGAAAAGTAACTAGTAACCAAGGTTATTAAATGAAATGTGGTGGAGTAAAACTTAGCCTACATTATTTGCCTATGAAATGTGGTGAAGTAGCAGAAAATGGAAATAGTTAAGTTCAGTACAAACACCTAAAAACTGTACTTAGATGCAGTAGTTGAGTAAAGATTCTTGTTTACTTTCCACCACTGATTATTATTATTACTCTTCACCCCCACCCCACCAGCCGTCCTATTTATTTGTTAGCATCCCCAACATTACAGTAGTTTCAATTATCAGTTGAAAGAAGTCGGACATGATTCATATTTAATCGTAACAGCAAAGCTTGATCCATCCATGGGTTGGTAATGACAACCTCCAAACCAGGTTACTACTTGTGAAATGACCGGCTGTCGCAGGGTGCTCCTTTAAGTGTGGCGAATAATAATACAAAGATCTTAGGGCAGGGTTTTACATCTGAGCAGGAAATAACGCTTGATATTCTGTATAGATACACAGCTCTTTGTGAGGCAGTGTGTCGTGGGACACGTACACATCGACCCTCTGCCTCCCATACCCATTCATATTTAGGCAAATAACACGCAGAGGCAGCTGCTCCTCTTTCTTTCAAAGAAATGTAATTCTACATACCACATCTATGTATAAGACTTTCATGGTCGATTAAACCTACTAAACAGTTTTCCATAAAGGGTTCACTATTCGACCAGTAGGCCTAGGTAAGATCTCCATTTTAATTTTAGTGGGTATGACAAAAATACACAAAAAACAATCGCAAAAGTATCACTGTACAACTCCACTACATTTTGCTTATAATAATGTAATTGAATAGGCTAATAATATGCCAAATTGAATGGTTTTCTGGCATTTTAACGTGTTTAAAGATCTGGTGAATCTCCTATGGCACTCAGTATTTGGCTGATATTCTGTGTGCATTTCTGTGATACAGTGGTTTTGAAATTGTTATAGATTGTAAAATTATTCATTTGAAGGTTATTTGTGGTAAAGGGGTGGTTAAATGCTCTCTTTGACAATGATAGCTAGTAAGATTACTTCCATGTCTCACACCCCGCCTTTTTCATTAAGCCGCACTTAAATCCACATTTTTAGCTCTGCAGAACAAGACCGCCATCACATTAGAACTAATGAGGACTTGTAAATTAACGAAGATAATGATGTAACAGACGAACAGGCCGGCCGGGTTACCGTTACCTTGCAGGGTACCTCCTGCGTACAGGCACTCCGGCGCTGACATGATCCCGGTGCAACAGAAATCCAGCCGTTACTGAGCCACCCACCAGCGTCAGGATCCCGATGTTTCGCTTGGATGACAGGATTCTCGAGAAGTTGCTCGCCATTTTTGTGTTCTTTATGTGTTAAAAACGCCTTTTTTTCCACGGTCGAAAGGAAGGATGGACAGGTAGGTGAGGGTGTAGGTGTTAGAGTACCTCTGATGGAATGATTCAGCCAGAGCGGTGTCAAGATTGCGGCAGAGTTACAGCATGGGACCGGAAATGTGCGTCTAGCTTCAAAATAAAAGTGCTACATAAACCTTAAAATAATAATAACATAGAAATAGAAAACGTCACTTGTGCAATAAGTACTACTCAGAACTTTTACTTAAGTAAAAAGTGAAACGGTAACCTATAAAAGTATTGGGATCAAATCATACTTTAAGTAACGAAAGCAAAACTACTCACTATGCAAAAGGCATCATATTATTGGATTTAGTGGAATGCATTATTCTGTCTATCATGCAGTGTTTCCTGCACCACTGGAACCACACACTGGTTGCAGAGGTGGTTGTGGGGACTCAGCTGCAGGGAAAGGTAAGGAGGACTTGGGTTTGATCAATTGTAGTATTAAAAGGTTTACACCTAAATAAATGAGTAATCAAAATTCAATAATGTAATTATAGTCTGTTGTCATAATGATTATGGACATTTTTTATACTGTGCTATTGCTACTTCTACTCAGTACTAAAGGATAGGCCAACATTTTAATGCAGCAGTACATTTACTTTCATTTACTGAGGCACTGTTCAGACTACCAACAGGACAGCGGTAAAAAATAAACAGGCCTATTCCATATCCAGATAAACCTTACATCTAAAGAGTCAGTTGTTCAAATTTAGTTATATCATTTTCACTTACACACAGAGGGGAGCGCACTAAGGGTTTTATTGTAAAATTTGCAATGTATAGGAAGTGGCAGTGCTCGTTTTAGCCAGCTTGACAGTGGTAGAACAGTACGTGGTATGAATACTGAAGGACGTCAGTGAATAGGGCTACAGCACTGAGAGGTTTCATATCACACTGAGCAACCACACTATTCTGGCTTCCTAAACACACAATGCTCATTCTCATTCTTCCCTTCTGAAACACACAATATTCCTTTCCGCATTACGATTTGTCACAAGGTTAATCCAGTCATTTCAACCATAAAACTGCTACAGCTTCAGCGATGAGTCAACAGCAGATTTGACGGGAGAATGTGTTTCCTTTATTACTACATATGATTAATAGTGATGACCTCCAAGCTACCTTTACTGATACCGCATTTTAAAATTCTTTTGAATCGTCTACAAGTGTCAGACCTGTTTCAGTCTTAACAGGATTTCTATTATGATCTGAATTAACAACAAAACAAAAACAAAAATCTAACAAAGCCCAAAAGAAATCCAAAACCCTTAAAACTGGGCACCATTGAAAAATAAAAGCACAGACCTCAGGTAAGTTGTCCACTTCTGGACTGTGACCTTACTTTGTTTATACAGACTTTTACATCATGTTTGGTATGGATTTTACAAATGGACAGAATAATGTGCACACTATCAATTGCAATCGATTCATTTTATTTTATTTTTGCCATTCAAGTCTGACCTGTCCACTGTGGCCTTCAGTCGCTTTTGATTAGAGGTCCTATTGTTCTATATTTAGGGCCTAAGCTCTTGCTTATGCAGGATAATGCAGTAATCTGTGGATTAAAAGGAAACAGCAAGCACACAGTACTCAGGTCAAAGGTCATAGTGCAGTTCAGCACAGAATGTAAATAGCTTACAATACACAGGATATGTTTAAGTGAAACAGATTCAGCATAAATGTAATAACTGTGTGCAGGGGAAAAACCTGCACACACAAATTGATAGTGCCTATAAAATGTATTAATCTTTCTTGGACTTCCAGTGTTTTGCAACACTTAAACAGATGTAATTTTTACACTGATAAACATAAGTAATAAAATACATTTGAACACATGTATTCAAGTGCAAATGTAAAACTCAATTATTAAGAACATTTACCCCTTTACTGCATTCAAATTATTAAGAAGTAACATCAGGGTGTGATGTTATTATGCTTCACCTGGAAGCACCAATAGCTGGTTCACTAAATATCCCTCAGAATATAATAGGTTCAGTAATAAAGTTCAGATTATAAACTGAATAAAACTTGGAGCTTTATCAACAGGCACCAAGGTGAGGTTTCTGATATGTAGTGTAAGTTTACAGCACATGAAGGGTTTTACAATTGCAGAGCTGTGACCTTTGAACAGCTGATAAAGGTAGGCTGCAGATAACAAGTCTCCTTTTATTTGCTGAAAGCCTTACCCTGGAATTGTAAAATACACATGACGTGACAGCCTGTGCAGTAAAGTGAACAGTGCTTGTTTGATTTTCTTTTCTTGCCTTTTCCTGCTCTGCGTGGAAGCAAGTACAGAACAAACATTTTCAATAACTTAACACATTTATTTACATAAAATCTCAACAACACAATGTATTTACAATATCAAATGATTACAACAGCTTCCCTTTTACTTAAAAGCAATTTTACGGCAAGAACTAAAACATGAAGAGTATCCATTTCAACAAATGTAGGTTCTGACGCGATTATAAAATGGCTGATTACAATTTTAAAAAACTGACATATCACCATCTTCCAAGGCTTTAGCTTCAGAAAGACTCACCCAGAAAACATGACCTACTCTGAATAGTAAAGTCATTAATATGAGAACAGTAAGGGCAATTTTAAACACCTTGGCAGAACTGCATAACTTCTACTCTTAAATCTTAAAACGTCCTGATTAAAACAAAAGCTACAGGTTAGAACATGAAATGTCAGGGTCAGAACTGTTGGTGGAGGAAACAATGTGACATTCATTCATTTACTAAGCCTTTCAAAAGGGTGACAGAAAGACATTATTCAGATCTGCCATCAAAGCAACACAGGGCTAAGAAAGGCCCACAACCTCAGCATAGACAATGTTATTGCTTTGTGGTTCAGTGAAGTAGTCTCTTCCTGCTGTAGGTCTTCACTGTGTGTGAGCGTCCGATCGACCGGCTCAGGGGTGAATGCTCATTTCCATCAGATTCTGTCCTCCTCCCTGATGTGGAGTTGTCTACATCATTTAGGAAATTAGGCAGAAGTTACGAGTTTTTTTTAATTGCTGCTAAGCCATTAAAATATGACAGGCAAATAGAACTCTCCTCTATTAGCCAATATGGGCAAAGAGAAAATATACTACATGGCCAAAAGTATGTGGGCACCGAAAATTACACTTACAGTGGGTACGTAAAGTATTCAGCCCCCCTTAAATTTTTCACTCTTTGTTATATTGCAGCCATATGCTAAAATCATTTAAGTTCATTTTTTTTCCTCATTAATGTACACACAGCACCACATATTGACAGAAAAACACAGAATTTTTGACATTTTTGCAGATTTATTAAAAAAGAAAAACTGAAATATCACATGGTCATAAGTATTCAGACCCTTTGCTGTGACACTCATATATTTAACTTAGGTGCTGTCCATTTCTTCTGATCATCCCTGAGATGGTTCTACACCTTCATTTGAGTCCAACTGTGTTTGATTATACTGATTGGACGTGATTAGGAAAGCCACACACCTGTCTAAGACCCTACAGCTCACAGTGCATGTCAGAGCAAATGAGAATCATGAAGTCAAAGGAACTGCCTGAAGAGCTCACAGACAGAATTGTGGCAAGGCACAGATCTTATTGCTGAACATCTTATTCGAAAACAGTGGGCATTAATCTGCAGCTTTAACAACTTCCTTTCTGTTCAAACTGTTGCCACATGTTAGAAAGCACAATGTTTCACATTTAACATCATAGCATAAAGCTTTACCTTTAGTTTTATCTGGAACTTAAAAAATAAAAACACAAGGCCTGTAAATCTTACCTTTGAAATCTGGTGTTCTACTAGTAGAGGCTGTTTTACCCTTGAACAACAGTGGAGACTGAGTTAGGGCCAAAATCCCACTCGCTGTTACTGGCTTCCTCACCTTTGAGTTGGGAGGAGTGTCTAATAAAAAATGTAGATGAAAAAAGTGACAAAATTATGGTTCATGCATTCATTTCTGAAAAGGTATATCATTTCAAATGTCTAAAACAGTAACCACTGCTCCTTTGTATAATGCTGTAAACTCTTTTTAAAAATGCAAAGACACATTCATTTTCAAATGGTAGGTTTTCAGCTCTAAAAAAACTGCCCAAAATTTGATGTCAACTGTGAAAAGGTTAAATCATTTCATTATTTAAACCATTTATGTAGCCAAACAAACAAACATGCACCAGTCATAGCTTTGCATCTGTGAACATTCAATGAGTCAACCTCAGCTTACCTGACTTGGCATCTCCACTAGCAGCAGCCCAAATGACTTCTTCTTCAGCTTTCCGGGGATCAGCGCACACAGCCTGCTGAGCAAGCTTCTCCATCCAGTACAAGTCCTCCGGTGGAGAGAGCGGAGGTACATTGGCTCTGACTGGATGAGACAGTGTGGAAGTTGAGGTTAATATTGCAGCTTTGTTCTTTGAGGGCTCATCGGTATCCTCAAAGTCCTGCAACCTGCTAACTCCAAGCTCAGCTTCCTCCAGCAGAGGCTCCCCCTTCAGGCCACGATCCTTCCCTCCACCCACTCCAACCTGAGCTCTCTTCCTGCGAGGCCAGCTGTTGAGGTTCTCTGGGGTCCCCTTCCCTATACTCTGAGGTGATGGAGTCAGGGGAATGATTTCTGCAGCTGTCACTGGAGACACTGTTCCCCCAGAATAGCGTGTAGGGGTGTAGGACTGGCAGATGTAGGTTTGGATGCCTTTCGCAGGTGTGCTCTTGGCTGGGGTGACATGAGTACAGATAGATGGTGACACACATCCAGGATCTCTGTGCTTAGAAAACAAAGCCAAGGGGCTGTCCAGGTGACCAGGTAAAGGGCAATGAGCACCTGATTGAGGAATTCCATCTGAGACCAAATCACCCGCATTCAGGGAATCTGAGCGTTTGATTCTAAGCTTGGGAAGCCCTGATGTTTGCATTTCCATTTCCACTTGGTAATTCAGAGGATCTGGAGTACCTGTGCCCTTTTGTCGAAAACGTCTTGCAAGGCCTCTCGGGGTTGAAAATCGAGGGGAATCATTTCCGTAGCCCAAACGAGCAGCAGCCTCCCTCTGTTGGCGGTCAGGGGTTTGTCGAAAGCCATAGCTCCGCCCAGGTGTAACCTCTGGCAGCACACGTGGTTTAGGAGAAACTGTGCTCAATTCAACGTCTCTATTAGACTGTGAAGGCTTTCGTGAAAAACTGATGTTCATCTTAAGACCCCCACTAAACTGGGTTTTTACGACAGCTGCATCAACAATGTCCAGACTATCGTCATCTGTGGATGCAGAGGTAAAATGTGAGGAGTCAAACTGCTGCGATTCTGTCTGGGAACTAGAGTCATTTTCAGATGATTGGAAAAGTTCAGTTTCTACCTCTTCTTTTGTATCGGAATGCATGCTCTTTTCCATTAGGTCACAGTTCTTAGATTTTGTGTTTAATTTGGATGGAACATTCTCACTAGACTGGAATCTTAAGTTGCGTCTGGTGGTTCTGACATTTTGGCCAGATCTGGTTCTTCTCAGGCAGTTTACTGATGGTTTTAGTGGCATATCCAACTCTTCTGGAACAGTACTACCCCCTACAGGTGTAACCACTGGCTTACATGGGGATACAAGGTGTAAACCTTTGCCTGGAGTTTGTCCAGAGCGGGTAACAATTTGATCACTAGAACTAGGAGTCTTGGTTTGAGTTCTGGCCTTGGTTTCACGGGAGATGATTGTGGATTGTGAAAGAGGCATTTCCAGTGGACTGTCGCCTTTGTCTGGTGTTTTATTTCTGTTGCAAATTTCTTCCTCTATCAAAATAACACTATCTGTATTTTCAGAAAGCTTTAATAGGCTTACTTGACAAATTTTCTCTCGCGTCTTGAAAATGTCTCTTTCAGTGTTTGTGCTTTTGACGGGACTGCTGAACTTGTTGGCTGTGTTCACCAGTCTCGGAGAACTGCGGGATGTAATACAAGGTGACCCTGGTAACTTGAAAATAGCACCGTTCTCTGCCACTCCACATTTCTGTGGAGATGGAGACCATGAGACACACTTTCTTGGAGTTTTGGAAATCGGGCTTTTGAATAGATGCAATTCAGAAGACGAGCTACATTCCGTCAGAGCTTTGACTGGAGTCTTGAGAATACCCTTCAGGGGGCTCCTTAGAGGACTCTGCTTAGTAGGTGTGTCTACTACAAGTGTCTTTCTGGCTGGAGATCTGGAAGGACTGCCCCTAAGAGCCATACCAAGCTCACAAACGCTGCTGGTTACAGGGCTCTCTGCAACAGAAAAAACACGCGTACTGTATGAAGGTGGGGTTTTGGGGGTTCCTTGGATGTGAGCGGTTCTGGGTGTCCTAGGAGTCGTATTCCCAAGATTGGTGCTCCCACGTTTACTGGGCAACATTGTTGTAGTTTTATTTGGGCTCTAAAAAACAAAAAACAAACAACAAAAAAGATGAATTGATGTAAATGTACAAATAACATCCAATATTTTGAACTGGAAAAATCATTAAATTCAGTAAAGGGTCAGTTAAGCATATTATGACAGTGCTGAGAAGTTGAAAAGGTAAATGAATGAATGGTTCCACAGATTTGTTGAACCAGCAATAAAATAAAATCTTTACATAAACATATTCAGCATTTATGGGACATACATAGGTAAACTGTTGTGAAAATGATAGATGCCCTAGTCATTTCCTATTCCTCCATAGAATGCAAAAAATAAGAAATGTTTATATGCAAGTACAAATATATATATATTTATTTTTTTTGTGACCTAAATAATTAAATGGAGAGCCTACCTCAAAAACACTAGAGTCACTGGACAGCTGTGACCTGGTGGCCCTGGTTGCACAAGACTGGTCAGATCGATGACTGGGGGAAGTAGCAGCCCCAAAAAGAAGACGCATGGGGGACCGAACTGCTTCTACATTAACCTCATTGATTTTGGCATCACTGAGAGTAAACTGGGAGGCAGAGAGAGCCCGGTCCAGGTTGCGGGAGCGAGGCTGAGAACTTGAATAGAAGGTGCTTGAGTGCCTTCTAGCAAACTTCTTTATCCTTGGGCTCCTCCTTCGGTCTGATACAAAACACACAACTTTAGTTATGTGCTTCAACTGAGTAAAACTGCCCTTCAAAAGTTCAAGGAAACAAATATATCAAATGAAACTGTAATCGCAATATGCTAATGTCAAATAAAACTGGATTACTGAATACCATAAGTAGATTGTATTTAATAGGAAATAATGCAAGCTATTATTTTTAAAGGTATTTAAGTTTTGCTCATTTATATTTTAAAGCTATGTTTCACAACAAAGAATCCTGCTGTGTTCATATCTCTGAACATACACTTTGGTTGTGTTTTTGAACAGCAGACAAAACACAGATTATAATCTGTACATTCATGTAAATGTATTGTGTAGGGGAAAAACTGCAGTATCAGTGAAGTACCATCTGCTGGTTTTACTGGCGACTCTTCCACAATGCACTTGTCAGTTGGAACAGATCTCCTGAAAAAGAACAGATACCAAGAGAAGAGCAAACATTTTTAATTTATAAAAATTAGCAAATGCAAAAGAAATTTTGGTTTTACTATTAATAAACAAAACATACCTTCCCATTCTTTGCCGGTATAGGAGACGACCGGACACTTGCTGGTGCAGAGGTGTCTCACACACTGTCTGTGTTTGATGTTTGTGTCTCCCTAAAAAGGAAGAATGTCCTTTTAGATAAAATGCTAAATATAACCAGTTAGCTGAAACAAATGCATGATGGGACAAACATTTCCACCTATCAACAAGTGAACCTATCTGAATATCCAGGTTGCATGGGCAAATACTAAAAGTACTTTAAAGGTTGTAGATAAAAGGTTTCCATTCCCTTATTTAGAACAGTGCAGTTACTTTGAAAAAACAAATCCATTTACCTTCAGGCTCATGAGATCGCTTGCGTTTCAATCCTTCCACAGCGGACACAGACTGGCTTCTTGGCAGCCTGGCTTTCTTTGAGGGTGAGACAATCTCTTGGTTGAACAGGTTTCTTCTCACCTTGGTAACCTCTGTGGACAATCACAGCATAATCTCTATTTAGAGCTCCCAGGCTTTTGTTTGAAAATGCCTTTAAAAGGTATTAAAATGATACTGCTCCCAGAATCTATAGAGTATGAAATAATTCCCCCATCAGCTTGAAAGGAAGATGTCCAGTCAATCAGAGTGCCTCGCCTTCTACAAGGGTCCCTCAGAAGTGGCAGATGTGACTAAATGTATGTGACTGCAGCATAATGAGCAAACTAATGGCCAACATAAGACTGAAAAAATGGGAATCCGATTAATTCAAGCTCTTTGTGGTCACTGTTTTTTTAGTATGGCACAAAAAAACAACACTTTTTAAAGTCACCACCCAAAGCTACAGATAGTTTTATATTCAAGATAGGTTCTGGGTGATTTTTGGCACAGACTGCATTCAAGTCAGATGCAAAGTGGAACATACCTTGTGTTTGTTGTTTCCGAAGTTGTGGTTCTATGACAGGTTTATCCAAAGGAGCATGGACCTTTGATTTCTGATTAATGAAAAGACAACAAAACAGGTAAGGTATCCTGGATTAGACAGCTACTGTAGCTCTCTAATCCATGCATATGCAATGCATATGCAAATCAAATGTAAGGTCTCTTGGTTGGGTGATCGTCTTAAAACATGAAGATATGGTGAACATTTAGAAATTGGACACATTTAAAAGCTGATGTGTGTTTGAATGACAAGTTAAAACCCGCCAATTAGATGATATTATGAAAATGCTATCTGACCAAGGTCTTATAATAATCCAGTAGTGATAAACAGCGGTTAATTATCTATGCTCATCTTACAGTTCGTGTAGTTTTTTTGGGCATCTCCACTTGGCGAAGACTCTGTGATGATTCAGTCATACTGCGGTGATGAGTCAGCAACCTAAGATGACCCAAAAAAAATTTGAATTTTGGACACAGACTCTACAAAATAATCAAGCATCATTGGATAGTCATTCAAATGTTTCCCTCACCTCCTCTTCTTGGCTGAGCGATTTCTCAGGCTCTCCAGACAATCTTGGCCACCCACACCCAGGCTGTGTGTGAACAGGGGAGGTGAGGAGACTGAAGGAGAAACACCCTCCTTGCCAACTGACTCATCACTGAAGAAGTCAGCGGGCAGAACAGCCACCAAGGCCTCAGGGAGCTGGGTGCCCAGACTGTGGTAGATGTCTGCAAGCACCTTGGGGACGGCTGTCAGGAACCTGACATGATACAGAAAGGCTAATGTTAGATTCCTACAGCTATGCCTGAGAAATATTTTGTTCATTCAAAAACCAGTGTTACACCAAGTTGGTATTTCTCCATCATCAAAAACAAACCAAACCAAACCAAACAAAAAGAACATAAGATTTAAGGCATAAGCAGAAACAGTGTTAAGACTTGTATTCTTCTGTGGAATAAAGACAATAAAAAAAAAAAGAGAACTCATTCCTGCAGCACTTACCCTGGGAGGACCTTGTCTTGAAGGAATTTTGCCAGGCAAACTGGATCTTTGGTTAGCGAGATAATCCTGAGCATTTCAGCCACCTGATAAACAAAAGATGATTGAAGTTACTGTTCTTTGTACTACTGTGCAGTCAGTGGTGTTCACTGGTCTGAATGATTTCAAATTATTAATTAAAATATGTTAAATGTTGAAGCTCATTACAATTTGCTGTCTACTTGTTTGTGGTGGTTAACTTAGGGAATCAATTAATATGGCTCAATTTCATTCAGATGGCTGCCACACTTCACACCCTTCACTGTGCCAGTTTAAGGCAATGAGCAAAAGCAAATACAATAACCAGCAATAGCATCTTAAACAGAAAAGCACCTAGTTTTTAATCAGTGTGGCTTGTAAAGCCAAGACTTTTACTTAAAACTACGTGCTCTGTAGCCATAGTCACTATTCTGACTTTTGAAAACAAGACAAATGCACCATAGAGGTCTCAATGGTGAGCATCTTACCTCCTCTGCCATCTGATCAGCATCTACTGAGTCAGACGGGAAAAGTCTGCACAACTCCAACCTCAACACAGCCTGAAGCTGACACCTAGAAAGACAGCCTGTTACTGACACCTGAACACAAATGACTTAAAAACAGAATAACCTTTTGAACCTTTATGAAGAACAGGACATATGGTAGCGGCAATGACTGGCTACAGACATACAGACATAAACGAATACACATTTCATACATCAAAGAGAACCAGTATAACCAAAGCCAGACGTTTAATGGCTGGATAGTGTAGCAGGTTTGACAAATTATACTGACATTATACAGACAATACTCACTCTCTAACTTTGCTATCAACATCAGTAGCTGTGCCATAGAGCTGCCGAATCGATTTGCTGGTCTTGAGAAGGTGCTGCTGGATAAACAGGGAGGTCTTCACCTGTAAGGAAGACATCATATGTGCTAATTAATCAGTCCAACTGGGCTTTAAAGTACCAACAAATACCAGCTACTTTTCTCTAGTGCACACGCAAAGTGGAAAAACATTTTAATCTAGCAATATATCAACACTTACCAATTAACAACGTGTACTGACAACTAAACCTGCAGTGTATGACTATCTAGAACTGTGCAGCACAGCCATCTACCAATTCAGTCACATAATAAATCTAGTTGGCAAAGATAAAAAGTAGATTAGGTCAGAAGCATGTAATATATTTAGAGCTACCACGTCTCACCTCCCGATCAGATTCAGTCATGAAGAAGGTTTTCAGGGCAGTCAGGAGCTGCTGGACACTGGTGAGTACGGATGCGTCTCTCTCTGCCACAGTCTTCTCGTAAATGGCCTTCAGATGGGACAGCAGCTCTGCCTCACTAGTGAAACCTGGATAAAAAAAAAACAAGATAACTCATATATATTCATATCAAAAGTTTAACATTTTGGGAAAAAAATGCACTTTCTTTCTTGCAGAGAAAAAGCATCAGTTGTAACATTTGTCAGCAGGGTTACCATTTGAGCAGGCATATTGTAAAGTTTTAACATAGGCACTAACTCATAGTGCTTGCTGATCCAGATTTGTTCCTGGCACTTGATGGTCTCTTCCCTAGTTTGTCTGTCCCTCTGCCCTCTGGCTCCAGCTGCTCGGTTTCAGCCTGGGTCTTCTGGGCTTTCACATTCAGCCGTGCTACATTCAGCATCTGCAGGGAGCGGCTCATGGTCTTCATCTTCTGTCTCACTGGTGTGCGCTGGGCGCCACCTATAGGTCAAGGATGGGAAATGATACACAGAAAATAATATTGTGAGGTTAAGTTCTTGACCTGATAATACAGGAAATAGAACATTTTAATTTCTGGCCAACTAAAATAAAACTTCATAAAAAGGACAATGTGAAGGTGATTCCCAATATCCAAATATTTCACTTCCATTTGTTGTCACCTAAACAATCATCATCATCTTCACAGAAAGCCAAAAATATACAAAATTCAGATGTGGCTTTCATACATTTCCTGCCCCTCTTGCTGTCTGTGCCCTGGGATGACTGGTATAACTCAGCCAGACCACTGATCAGCTCCTGCTGTAGGACAAACGGCTGCTCCTCCTCTTGCTTCTCTGGCACTGCATGCAATAATCTGTACAACAAAGTGAGTAAAAAAAGAAAAAACAAACAAACCCATTTGTCACTTTTTTTGTGCCAGGATTGAGTTTGTTACAGGCTGCTTTTAAATATTTTGAATGTAAACCTATGCAACTCTTGCTTCAAAAATACATCAATTATTAATATAATTAAACTGAGAATCCACATACTTCATTGACTCCATTAAATGAGAGCTCACTCCTGACTGGTCTGACTGAGGGAACCAAGCCTCCA